ACATATGTATGTACAGTAGAGTATGTATATTTTTAGCTGGGATGCAGGCTGCCAGTACATATAAATATACATATAAAGTGAGAGATGCCACTTGCCGGAAAGGACATTTTTGGTGACGCAAAAGAGACTTTTGGTTATTGCGCAAACTCGTTTTTAATTAAAAAGGAGCCCGTAAAAAATTGCGAGTAGCTTTGTTCCAGGAAAGATATATATGCTTACATACATGCATATAAAACATATACATACATATATGAACGTATATATACATATGGATGTATGCACTTATCGCCCTCTTTCTCCTGAAAAACAAAGAAGAAATTCAAAACATGTACTCGTATACCCGTAGTGTTAGCTTCCCCTTATGCTCACTCTATTATGCACCAAATAATGCATAGAATACTTTTTATTGAATATTAAATCAACGATGTTACACGATACAAAAGCATAGCTTGATCGGCAAAAGATGCATGCAACTAAAGCCCTGGAAGTTGTCAGGGTAGCTTGAATGCTGCATACTCCCGTTTGTTGCAGCAACGACAGAACAGAAATGGGTCGAGGAAGCGGAAAATGAAAGCATTCCGCCGCCATGTTATTTTTGGGCGGCCTTACTCTACATTTATTCGAAGCATTATGTGAATTTAGTATGTGTGGCTATGTTTGTTGGAATAGTTTAAAGACCGTGGATTAAGCTACACATCAACGTATGCTATTGCATGAGCAAGTAAAAGTATACATACTATAGTAGTTATTACATAATTGCACGTAATAAATTGATAATGAAAATTTTAATAATTTTCCAAAACACTATTCTATTTATAAAGACGTGCATCCATACGAATGTGCCCCGAGAGAGCTTATATGTATCTACATATTGATATCGTGCTTCTGCAAGCTTCATACAAATTAGTTTCTTATATGGGATATTCCAACTCCACGGGTGGGACATTTGAATTGAAAAAATCTTCATTATTTTTTTAATTTAAGTGTAAAGTCCTCAACAATTCAACATTTTGATAAAGCTACACCTTATTCACTACTATATAAGTTATTATCAAAAAAATACGAAAAAACTTCCAACTTACATTTATATGGGAAAAAATCTGAGTTATTTCTTCTGTCATGGGTGGAACAAAAAACATAACCTGCTTTTTGGAGAAGATATATTGTACGGAAACTGTGCAAATTTATTTCACTTGATGTCTTATAATAAAATAGAGAACGTGGAATACAAACAAAGCAACACCTACAACGACAATTATTAATAATAATAATAAATTGGCGCTTACCCATATGTTAGTGTTTGGCCGATCTTCCCCTCCGATTTGTGGCGTGCGGCTTGATGTTGTCTCGTGCGCTGGGTTTGGGTCCCGCCACGTTAAAACCCCGCCCAATTCAAAATAAAAAACAGCCTCGGATGAGACGCCCTTTTTCTGATGACGACCACGGCAAACGTATAAAGGACTATGATTTAAGGGTATGCACCTGGAATATCCGGACCCTTAATGGGGAAGGTGCCTCTGCCCGGCTGGTTGATGTCCTCGGGAAGA